TAGCAGTAGCAGTAGCAGTAGCAGTAGCAGTAGCAGTAGCAGTAGCAGTAGCAGTAGCAGTAGCAGTAGCAGTAGCAGTAGCAGTAGCAGTAGCACTAGCAGTAGTAGGAGTAGCAGCAGTAGCAGTAGTAGCAGGAGTTTGATATGAAGTGGTGTGATGAGTTTTCGTGACAGACGGTATAGTGAGAAGAGATGTGAGGAGGAGAAGCTGCGGGATTAGGGTCATCCGAAGCTTTCATGATCCGTCGGCCACAAACCAATGTCACCTTCCTAGAGGTGGAGGAGACATGGAGTTGAGAAGATGCCGTCGGAAGCCATGGTCACGGTGCGGAGACTCCTAGACGAGAGCCAAGCTGTAGCTTTGGGGGAGACTTGGCGACACAGGAGCAAGTAGACCTGGCCTCTGACATCCACGGCCGCAATACTCGATAGACGCACATGGGACGTGTGGACCCAAATCCGTACAGATGCTTCAAATTCAAGTAGGATCAAGGCAGACGGCAGCAATAGCGGACAAAAAAGCGTGAAAACGAACCGGAATCAAACTCGCCAACGGCAAAAAGTACAGGAATCGCAAGACGCACGACACAAAGACATGCAATGCCAATCTGTAACGTACCTTCAAAGGAAAGTAGATTGGAAACCAGCTGATCATTCCCTCGCTCTTGGCGTCCATCGTGTTCGGATTGGTCGACAATTCCACGCCTTTGTACAGGACGGTTTCAAAATACCCGGCAAGCCCGTGGCACGTCCCGCGATTGGCGATCGGGAATGTCAATGTGCTAGTCCGCGCATTGTGTGCATTGCTCGGTGCTGGCTCGGAGTGTAGGTGCGAGCTGGGGTCGGAGAACGAGGCTGAGCCACTGGGCAGCGCTGGGTTCGGGTGCTGGAAGGACCACGTCGTGCCGATCACGGGAACTGGAGAAGGAGGCGTCGTCGCAGACGGCTGTGTATGTTGCCGCGTATGGGCTTTCGAGTACGGGGCGGGCTGTGTCTAACATATCGGTCAGTTTGATCCTCTGAGGGGAGAGGAGTTCTGGACAGTACCTCGGCTGGTGAGCTTTGCTGTGGGGCTTCAGGCGGTGTCGTGGCGCTCAAGTAGTCGATTGCATTCAACATGACCACGTAAGGAATCTCTGCTGCGTCGGGATTCGAACTGCTCATCCCGTGCGTGATGTCGGCGTGCAGCTTGGGCGCCGCAATGGGCGTGATATGTGCGGTATACGAGGCCGGGATGGAAATGCCGTGGATCGGATTCAAAAGGTGCTGCACTCCGTCAAGACATTCAGGAGACAACTCGTTGTCAGCAAACGACCCCAGTAGTTCGGAGATCAGGATGTCGATTTTATATGGTGTTGCGGTCGATGTAGGTGTCGTGGTAGCGAGAAGGTAGGTCGAGTCCAGAGACGGCGATCCGGTAAATGTCGTGCGGGCCGACGTAGGCTGTCCTTCATGGTCATTCCTGTCCTCTGTTGCTCCAGGCGCCAGGTCGCTCTCCCGCTCGAGCTCAACGTTATAGATCCGATTGGGTGGATTCGCCTTCGGTGGCAGCTGGATTGGACCACGCCAGCTCCTCATGTCTGACTTGACCAGATTGACCCGGTTCTTCCACAGGGTTTCGTTGTGGCGTTGAAGCAGCACAAAAGCATTAGGATTCTTCTCCAGTGCCCACATGTCGATTTCCACCCCAACATCCTCACTGGCTTTGAGGGCCCGAGTCACTAGCGGACCTCGCCCGGCGCCCACCACCGCCACCACCACACGACCGTCAGGGTTGGAGGTGGGTTTGCCTTGTTCGATCCAGTCATGTAGGGCCCGGGCAATGGCGCGCTCGTACCATGCGTACTTGATGGGGTCTTTTTCAAACACTTCGTACGTGATGCTCTCCAAATTCACCGTCAAAGGTTGCAGTGGTGTCTGCAGGTAGTCTTGGTACCCGGCCCCGAAACGGTCCAGTGTGTTCTGCTCGGGTTGTTTTGTTTGAAGGTTCCGCATGTACGAAAGATGAGGCGTTCGGTCTTTCAAGTGTCCAGTCTCCGCTGCTTCAACGATCGTAGGAAAATCGGCCGCCCCAGGCGCTAGGGGATGGATCCCGTCGGTGCTGGTTGTGATATTGTGAGGGACCGCCCCAACATCGCAAAGAAGAAACCATGGCGCCGTGCGGAGGCGGATAAAGCGACTAACCAAGGCTTGGTGTGCTCGAGACAACACAGGATAGCCTTTCGCATTCTTCGAAAAAGTGTTGGCGTCCAGGCTTAGAAGCCGGATGGGTTCTGAATACCACCGTGACTGAATAGGAACTGGCGGGAGGAGCTTGGGAATAGCCAAGGCTAGATGAAGATCAGCAAAAGAGCTCAAGTGAAGATGCTCAAACCCCAGGCAAAGGCCCTGGCTGTTGTTGAACACCCGAAATTTATGATCCTTACCTACGCATAACCGAGAAGGATATTTACATATCGATCTAATCATGTCCCAGGCCTCCCAAGAACCGAACAAATCCAATATTTGGGTCTGGCCATCATCGGGATCCAAGAATGGCTGGCGTGCGAACGGAGCTAGATCGCCCATCTCATCGGTCTGGTCGTCCGAGTGGTTGATCATTGGCAGCCAGATGTAGAGCTGCATATAGGGACCTTGAGCCAATGCATCCATGATCGCTCGCGCGTACTGGGCAACGCCAGCCTCCGAAGCCCCTTGCCCGCGGAGGCGGGGGCCCGGGATCAGTGCGTAGGTGATACCACAAAAAGCAGCGTAGGCAAGTTCCAGTTTCAGAACCTGGCGAGACACATCGGCAATGATAGGATCTGGGGAGCTCAGGTCGATCCAGGAACTGGTCACACCGATAACTTGGCTGATTGACTCATCCGGAGTCAGCGGAGTGTCGACTGGAGTGAGAGGGGGGACGGTGACGGGAGACGCGTTCTTGGTCTTGGTGATGTCTTCCTCCGAGTGGTGAGAGAGAGAGGCCGAGAGCAGGGTCAGCACTCGAGAATGGAAATGTGGCGTTGTAATGGGACTGGTCAGCATGTCATACTACTTTGTATCAGCGGTAAGACGACAATGTGCTCGTTGTCAAGATCTTACATCTGCGGCATGTGCATCTTGAATCGCCTCGACTGTCACCGGGATGGGCCTATTAGCGTCGTGGTGCCCGATGACGAAGCGAGGCTGACCTTCCATATTGGAGCCAGTATGGAAGAGCACTTGATTCCGTCCACGTAGTCCGATCTCGAGCAAATCGATATCCGATCAAGAAAGAACAATACCAATCTAGCCGGCCTGGTCTTGTTTCATGATACTCAAGATGTCGAAGCTAGGGTCGTCTAACTGCAAAGGGGCCTGTCAAGGTGATATCAGCCATGATGAATGCTTCCCCAAAAGACGACTCTCTCAACCACTGGCAGGACCAAGTCAGCAACAGCCAAGTCCCAGGAAGGCCACACAAATTCGAGGGCAGAGTCTGTGGTCAGAATTCAGCATGCGAGGGACGTGGTAAATCGCCCAAAGGAGACTAGCGTTTTCGTCAACGCCAAGGCTCCAGTCCGCCAATGGCTGCGCAGTGCGGCTCCCACTGCTGCGGAGTACTAGCACAATACATGTATTTTGGATGCTCCTCCGTATTTGATGCGCCAAACTGCGGACTCTCGATCAAGTTGGATCGGAGCTCGATTGGAACGCGCAGAGAAATATTTCATCCCCTTCCACACCCCCAAGGCGTCTGTCGTGTCGCAGCCTGCGAGCTGTATCCGACACGATGAGCGTCCTCCGATCCTCCGAGTGTGTCTTTTGCCATTTTTCTCGGTCCTCCCGCCCTGCCGCCGTCGCCCGTCGCCAGTTTCATTCGTCCCCCGTCCATCAAAAAAGGAAACCTCGATTTCCCAGCGTCAAATCATCCAGCAATGACCTGAACATCACACAAGCTGCGAAAGAGTTCCCTACGTCCAAAAATGGCCAAATCCCACAACACTACTCGGCCGAGCAACGCGCCGCCATTGAGGCTGCTCAAAAGTTGATCGACCTCGAGAAACTGGAGAAGCAAACGGGCCTGCGGACAGATCCCTGGAAGATGAAATACTACGATGACCTGACAAAAATAGACCCTGTGGTCGACAAGCCGGTGCGAGCGCCCTGGACAAACATCGACGACAAGTCTAGGTTAAAGACGGAGGACGAACTGGAGGACGATTTGATCAAATTCATGCAAGAGATCCCTGCACCAAAGCATGAAAACGACTTCGATCCAACATTATGGGACAAGTTCGACAAGAACCTTAGGTTGACCGTGGGACGTGAAGAGGCCGAAAGAGCACCCCGGACTGCCCTGGCTCCTGATTTGCCCAATATCTCAGAGACCCCCCGACCTAAGAAGACAACCAAGGGCGACGAAGTGGTCGTGGAAGAGCCACCGTCGCCGGCACTGGTCAGACTGATGCAGATGACCGGATACGATCGACGCCAAATCTCCCGATTGCGTGTGAAAACCGTCATTATGCATCAGGTAGTAAATCAGACCAGACTGGGAAAAATCAGCAAGACATACGTTCTCAGCGTTGCTGGAAACCAGAACGGATTGATTGGCATCGGGGAAGGCAAAGCGGCCGAAGTGACTGAGGCTCTTATTCAAAGTCAATACCGTGCCATCCGAAACATGACCCCAATCCTGAGATATGAGGATCGAACCATTTTTGGCGATGTCAGCGGCAAAGTCAGTGCTACGGAATTGGAACTTTACTCCAGACCACCAGGTACTTTCCTTTCTTCTTGACACACAATTCCCCGGGGCTAACAAGACTGCCATAGGTTTCGGTCTCCGCTGTCAGAAGTACATTTGGGAAATTTGCCAGTGCGCCGGTATCAAAGATCTTGCCGCCAAAGTGACGCGGGCGAGAAATCCGATGAACACGGTCAAGGCTGCCGTCGAGGCTCTCTTGAGCCAGAAGAACCCAGAGGACATTGCAAGAGCTCGGGGCAAAAAGCTGGTGGATGTTCGAAAAGTGTACTATGCAGGACAGACTTGAAACTTGTACATTAAAATCAAACCGGCTTTTGTATGATTCTGTTGTCACACATGCAGCGGCAGAGGTTGCCAGGTGTCGAGCTCACTGGCTTGTTGGCGTCTCAATCTTTCCGAAGAGATTGATCAATCTATCCACTAACCGAGGTGGAGGGTTGCATCCAAGATGTTCTCGACATGTTCTCATGGTCGCATTTTGCTTGTCATAAAGTCGTGCTTTCGGGCCTCAAGGAACCGCTCAGCCCTGAGCGCTCTCGTCTCCATCGAACCCTTCTCCGTCCATGCCATCCAGTTGGCCTTGCTGTAGTACAATACTGTAGACGCTGGCCTTCATCAACGTGTATACGCTCGCCACTTTCCGCTCCAGCAGCCGGAGGCCCTCTGCGATCTCGAGCGTGATTGGTCCGCCTGAGAGCGATGCTAGGGTAGAGGAGAGCTGAGTCGGACGGGCCTGTCAGCTAACATCGCCAGGAGAAGTAGAAAAGCAGAGATCACGAGAAGCCAGGATCACAACGGGCACTCGATCCGGCACGAGGTGTGCCTGCCTCATCTCTCGTCGGAAGAGGTCCCGCTCTCAAGATGCGACCTTAATCTTGGGCAAAGTGTCGTGGCGACAGAGGCGTGTAGAGGGACTCCCTCAAAGCAAAGGGGATTGCTGGTCGACGACGCACCTCTTTCATGTTTTTCGCCAGCCTCTCATACTCATCCAGGACTTCCTGTTCTAACGGCGACACTCCAAACGAGCCTTGACCTGCCAGGTCAAGAAGAGGGTTTCTCGACTCAGGGTAGACTGTGCTTTCCTCCATGGTCGTCAGACGGTCGTTCAGATACTTGAGGATCTAGGGCGTCCGCGAGGACATGGTATGATCGTTGCCGGTTGGTCAAGAATCTGACTGGGACGCGTATCTCACCGACATGCACGTAAGAGGAGAAGAGGTAGTAATAAATGGTAAATCGACGGCGCGTTCATGTGGGCGCGCTCCCGCAGGCTCAGACCGCCGCTTTAAAAGCACCAGTTCCCCTCCACTCATCTTCATCCTCATGCTACTCAGCCTCTTTACGCTGCTCCTCACCTTCAATATACCCTCTAGATTCACACCAAAGTCGGCTTTTCTACCGGCCCTCGAACGTCCACACAATGTACCTCCGAGGCTTACTCCCAACCCATGGAGCGCTGCGCGAGAAAGAGTTGACATTCCCTGTATTCTTGACTGCCTGAGTGGTTCGGCGGCCAGTCCACATTCTATTTGTCGAGACCGATATTGAGATTGACAACGACAGGGTTTTTTTGCCTTGACAATCGAATGTAGGACACTTTTCGCGGAAATGGTCACAATATTCCCAGCACAGTGGTTGAGAGCTGTCTCAGCCAACATCCTCGCATAGCATCTGTGACCCTCTAGGCCATCCCGCTGAACCATGGGTATGGCAGACAACTGGACTGTGTCACGGTAGACCTGCATGGTGTCTATCCCTGACGACTTTGACCGGATGCAACATGAAACCATGTCGCAGTTAAGACTATCGACTCTAGAGGTCTGCAGATGCACAACCTGCATATGTGGTGCCACTGTCGGTGAGGATCTTGGGCAAGGAAGATGTGGCGCTTGATTTAGGAGCTACGAGTGGTGATAACAGTCAAGAGCGAGTTTCAGTCTTTATAACAGGGTCGAAAACAGCTCTTCAATCGCGTCGCTGGTGTCGAAGGCCTCTTGCTCACCGTTCTGCAGGCTTGATAGTTCCTCCAGACGATAAGGACAGGGCGTACGGAGTACAGCTCTGGATCAAGAAGGAAGGCCATGAATACGTGCCATTGTCCGAGCGAGCCATCCATATATACATTTCCCAGCAAGGCTCGGCCGTGAGACGACGCGACAGTCGACACTCCGGACCAATGTAGCGAACATGGCCTCCCGGCTCAAACCCCGGACCCTTGCATTCGTGGCGCCTCAGACCATGTCTATCGTCGGCTCGTGGTTGGCCCAAGATCTTCTTCCAGCCTACCGGTCTGTGGACTTGATGTTTCTAGGGAGTACGGAGTACGGAGTATCCGAACATCGCTTTTCAAGAGTTGCACATTCCGACAAGGACAGCACGATTGGCTCCTGTTCGCATGTGGCCGACCTTGGATTCCACGCAGTTTTGGCGTCACCGTGTGAAACAAGGCCCGTCCTTTATTTACACGTGGATGGCCGATGAGCGGCCGGGGCCATGGACATTGCTATGGCTGATTCGCGATCTCACAGCGAACCAGAAGTCGAGGAAACGACCAGGGTCCCCTTCTGGATGGTCGGCACCTAGTCGGCGTCCGATAACATGGAGTCGTGCCAGTGGCTCTCCCATCGTCTCTCTTTCCGGGGCCGGGGTCTAGATGCACGCCCAAGGTCGACCCCCCGACGCTCTTGATTCAGCTGGAGAGCTCGGGCGCTCGACTAAGCCATTAACAGAGCCTGAATCTTCTCGCCCAAGAGCTCGAACCTGCAAGCCAAGGGGGTTGAAGGAGCAGTTTGACCAATTATCACCCACTTGTCAAGGGAGCTGGGGAGGCCTTTTCGCTGCTCTTGGTGCCTTTACTCGACCCCCAACCTGCACCATGCTTTCAGCCGCCTGCCACATTCGTGTTCTGATGGACATTGATACGCAGAGGCCTTCAGATGCCAGCAGTTCACCGTTGGTATCCGCGTACCTTGCCGCGACATGTCTGAACACTTATCTCTTTCTAGCCAGGCCCCGTCCAGCCCAACCAGGGCATATGGCCCTATATTGCCCCTAAGGCCTGTCCACACCTCCGACTCTGTGCAACCGAACCACCCGTTTGGGTTGGCCTGCATCTTGACCTGAGCAACAGACAGGCATCATCCGTAGGTGCAGGGAGGCGGTCTGCAAGGCGACCTCGGCGCGAGCGATGCCTTTTGGGACTTTCGTCAGGGATCCAATAACTTGACTCAGCCTCAATCCTCAAGAGCAGGATTATGCCCTCGACCTTGGTCTCATCTCTCTTTCCGACTCACCTTCCTTACCGCATTTGCCCCTTGCGTTCGGGCCTGGTCCACAGCTGAATGTGCTGGAGACGTTTCGATGAGCTGGCACTGATTCAACAGTCTTTCCATTCTTGCCGCCAAGAGACAACGACCTCTCCTTAAAACCCAAGGTTAGAAGCCATGGACGTCATGTCGGTCGAGGCCTGTGTTCAAGCAGGTCAGTTTAGCTCGGTCGATGTCTCCCCCCATCCCATCTGCCTTGACCAGTGCCACCTCCTGGAAACAGCCCCTACCCTGCCATCTGCGAGCGCCCCCAACTTCGACAATATCTTACCTCGTTGTCAAGAAGCCTTGGTCCATCTAACCACCTGAACAAATGCTGCTGTTTTTCAATGGTTAAAACAGGTCAGGGACGGTGTACCTGGGGACGATTCTGAGCCTATTTGGTGCGACTCTAGCGGCGGAGCGTGCAGCTGGGCAGCCTCGATCAACACGTATCGTAGGCCAATTACGTCCCGTGCTCAATTCGCCCTCAATACAATACAATCATGTTCTGGGAGATCCCACTGACGTTGGGTTCAATGTAGTGACTGGAACATACCGCGATGCCGCAAAACAACTTCGGCGACTCAAAGAGAAGCAGAAGACATCGGAGGAATTTATCCTACCTGAACATTTGACCAAAGACTTCGAGGACTCCCTCTCGCTGGGAGCGTTTGCAGTTCAAAGCCAATATGACCATGATGCCCGTCGATTTGGCGAGACATACGCGCGGGGCGATGCCGTTGCCCGGGAGCAGATGAAGGACATCCTAATCACCCTGCAGCAGGCGGTGATTACCCATCTGCGAGAGGTTTACATGGACGAGGTCTCTCTTGACCTCCACTCATTGAAGGAGATGTCGGATGATAGCCGCGTCAACGCGACGGTGTGTCTAGGTCAGCTTTATCAACGCATGTCGACAGCCACGGCAGCGATGAAGCAGATTTCCCGGCCACCTGTCGATGAGCCGAGCAAGACCCCAGTGCCCGAGTCTTTGACGCACTCTAGCAGCCGCAGCACTCACTCTTCTCTCGGCGGAGGACACCGTGACAACCAATCGATGACTTCGCACACGACATATAGCTCAAGAACAGCAATATGTTATGATCGCAAAGCATCGGGCGGCCCTATGCCGCAAAGAGCGATCTCGTTGAACTCGGCTCTCTCAGACTCGAATGAGCGAGAACACCCGACAAGCGTCACTCCTGGTGAAGACAACGTCCCAGCGCTCCCTTGCTCTACGCAGATACAAGTTAGTCAGGGTGCCATGGAAAACACGTCCGGTGGTGTCGGGAATCTACAGCACGTTGACGAACGCATCCCGCCCCCCAATGCAGTTCCTCCGCCGGCCTACAAACCAACGCCATCATCCCCAATCCAAGGCCCTGATGAGAAAGGACAGACCTTTCCTCGGGAGTCAAGTTTCTATCAGCCTCCGACCGCACATATTTACAACAGCGTGCCGCAGAACATGCCGCTACCAAGGGTTCATGGGACAGTTTCAGATCGAAATGGACCCCGTCGTCTACTGCACCCCCAGGTAACACAAATTTACGAACTCGATGATGGATCACTCCTCCAGACACACTCGCGCGAACAGGAAATGCTGATACCGGCTCCACAACCAAGTTCAAGTCACGCCGTACCTCTCAACCCGGACTACAGCACGTTGGAGTATGTAGTGGACCTCGAGGCGCGCAGTCGCCCTCCCGGCTCGCCGGTAAAGTCGCAACTGTACCGAAGGCACACGGAACAACTGGAGCAGCAATGGCAGCCACAAATGCAGCGGGCATACTACCCAGAACAAGTGGTCTATGGACAACAGTGGCAAAGTGGGCCTATTGTCCGACGACAGACCAGCGAGGCGGAAACAGAATCGGGGGTCAGCCCTGTTGGTCCTGTTTCGCAGGCAAGAGTGCGTATGTGCAGGACCTCATCATGCTCCGAGCTGACCTTTCCTTCTCCAGGTGCCTCAAGTGCCTCCAGCCCCAAGACCGTTGTCAATACGCTCCTCAAGCTCGACTGAGTCCAAGCTCGGGGCCTTTACGCTGAGGAGAGCGCTTCCACCCGGGATTGCGGAAGCGATTCATAAGTCTGCGCCCTCAGGGTTGGAATGGCAGCCGCGCTACGTCAAGCCCGACGTACCAGGCGTGAGTAAAGAGCAGACGGTGCCGCTCGTCAGTCCAGCATCGCCTGTCGGGCATCAGGGAAACAGCTGGTCGGATGGAGTCTCGATGACATCAACCCCAAGCAGGCCTCCCTTAGAGTCTAGCATGAGGGCACCCACTCTGCCACATTTGCAAATAGCCAGGTCCGAGTTGAATCTACCAAGCGAATCAAACCTGGCCGGATTCTGCAAAGGAGCGGTCCGGACACAACTGGGGGGGCGAAAAAAGGGATTCTCGCTCGAGCACAACCGAAAAAGAAAGGGCCAGGCATATTTCTTCCGATGCACCAAATGCAACTTTGAAGGCCCTGCGGCAGTGTCGACGGCGCTTCCAAGCGGTGGGCGAGGCGCTGTCAAGCGAGAGAAGACCTTTGACACACGAGTGCGAATGTCTGAAGGAGGCATCAAATACCGGTGGGCGTTCCTGGCAAAGAGTCACGTGCTCAACAAGGCAACCAGTAGCGACTTGGACAACAGCACCGACGTATTTGGCTGCTACTTCTGCTGTGCGGAGGGCGCGGCCAAGGGATGGGTGGACGACACTCTGACCGCCCAGCTGGCGACCTTAGGGAGCTTTGGCGACAGGAAGACCAGTGCCAATCTGACGCCGATCTTTACCGGGCTGCGGGCCTTTCTTGCTCATCTGGAGACGCACCGGACAGCAAGCCGGACGCCTGGGCTGGTGGTGGCGAATGAGATGAACTGTATCATCGGCCGGACTGCGGACGACCGTGAAGATTTTGATCTGAATCTGCCGCCACCGTGATGATGAACAAGCAGCGAATAAGGGGATGGAAGGCTACGTGTGGATATTGATATTCTGTGTTGTCATAGCGCAGGCGCTTTCAGGCGGCACGACCCGTGAGAATTTTTGTCCCGTCTTTTCTGAAAGCTAGCTGCTCGCATGAACACTTGGCGGTGTCAATGTAACTGCCGATGGATGGATATGGTCATGAAGACGGAGACGGGGATGGAAATGGAGGCGGGCGAGACGGACTAGGAATCTGAGAATCGAGACTGTCCTCCAATTCGAGCAGCGAGGTGAGATGGTGTTCATGCCACCAGAGTCACGCCCGAGAAGGGACCGAATGGCGAACATAGGGTACCCTGGCAGTAATGGTAGTACTAGAAGACACAGAAAAGCGAGCCGCAACATCCGGGGCAGGCGTTGTCTGTCTATTCTATGAAGCAAAGACTCGGAGTCTCCGGGGCACTTCACTTACATCAGAATCCGTACTTCGTACTGAGATGTAACTAAAGTGCCTTAATTAACATGCATCTATTACGGAATCACAGTAATACCAGGTCTTTAGGCTGACTAGGCTGACTAAACCCGTTGCCGGGTCTGGCGGCTAGCATATCCGAGAGAGCCGCCTGCTCATACTGATGACATTAACACCTCCGCATAATCATAATTGGTACCTACTAAGAACTACGACGGCAGACCTGGGAGGCTCCTTGGCCCCCCTTCTACCACTGCGGAGTCCTGACAGTACCATGGTCCTTCTGTATAGAGTGTACTCCGTACGGATGCCCACCTTAGGTATCTACCTTAGCTGCTGCCATTATTCCTTCCCTTTTCTGTTTCTTCCCTCTTCCACCAATTAGTACGCCTCATCCTCCTCCGTCCTCTTCCGTCCGTCTCCCTCACATCCAGCAGAGATCGAAGATCCGCCCTTCGCCTCGTCTCCCGCCCCATCCACTGCTTGAGTTTAGCGAGTTGAGCATCAATATCAAGGCTGCTTAACACCGTGCCGCGCGGTGAATTCTCCACTGCAGCTCGCTTCGGCGTCGCGCGGTGCTGTTGCACAGAAACTCGTCCCCAGCCGGCACCGTTCTTGACTGCCAGTGTACGCCATCTACGCTCAGACCGCCCTGGAGCCCATTCCGAGCATCCGTGGGATGGAAAGAGAATACGGAATATAGTCCACTGACCTGGCAACGACCCAGACCGGCATCACGCGGACCAACAACTTCCTCCGGCCTGTCTGTTCTTCCCTCCAGGCTTCACCATGGCCACCGACTTTAACCAACACCCTCAACATTCTTCTCTCGAACCTTTCCCGCTCTTCATCGACTCGGCACCTCCTAACTCGGCCAACTACTTCTCCTCGCCCATGGCCATGGCCGCAGTTCAACTGTTGGCCTCCTCCAGTTCGTCGCACCTGCGGAAGCCACGGATATCCATGCCGGCCAAAGTCTCCAATTACCTTCGCTTGCGCTACTATCAGTACGAGGTCACCTTCGGCGTCTATGTCATGACGCCCACGGAAAAGTTCATCTTCAACACCATGGTTATCGTCGCCTTCATCGCCCTACTCTACGCGCTCTTCTGGGGGGTTGAGCCCTTCGTCGTCAACACCCTGTGTCGAGTAAAATATTACGCGACCGGCTCCTTGTCCAATACACACCAACTGTGCTCATGACAACGCGGCTCATGGACATGGCTTCATATGCCTCCCTAAGGTTTAGTTTGGCCAAAAGAGGCGGATTTGTACGAAGGACAGGCACCTCGAATGGCGAGAAGAGCAAGTTAAACCTGTTTCTGCCTACGATCAAACTTCGGTCTCGACCTTCTGGCAAACGTTGCAGCTAATCCGCAACCCATCTCAAGAACGAGACCAGCGGTCCAACACCATCAAGACAAACAGCTTTGGCTGATCAAATTACCATCAAAGCAGATATGCTTCAAGAACCTCTATTGCACCTACAAGGCCACGCCCCTTTCTTGATGGTACCCCTGATATACGACCGAATCATACCTCAGCCCCGCTTCACCGGGGTAGATCCCGTCACTACCGAACGTTCAGTATTTCGCCTCTTACGACAATGACCTACAAGCAAGCACGCGTTGCTCCAGCTCCCTTCGACATGGAGCCTTTTTTGGAAGACCACAGGCCTCAAATTATCGCCGGTGCCGGTGTAAACCGTGCACAAATCTTTTGGCCAGCTAATGACCGAGCAGTAGATCTGGACAGTCCAGTGACGACCAGGCATGCCTTTGTAGGCGACACCCACGAGCTCCACGACAGCAGCATCCACATATACTAGATACCGGGTATTGAGTACATGACTAGCATTGATAATACAATATCCGCCCGACAAAGTGCATCAGACTGCATCTGGCTTCCTGCAGCTTCTAGAGTTGTTGTCATTGTCCTGCAAGACTACACGCTCCCGTCGAATGCCGAGTGCCGGTCGCTGTCTCAGATGCTCGTTCAATACAGCTGGAGGTATCACTATCCGTCCTCCGTACTCTGTACTCTGTACTCCGTATTAGAGAGCCAGCCAGAGCCTGACGAGGCTACTCGCGTAAACCAATCCAGGCCAGGGGTACGAATTAGATTTGCAGCATGGACTCTATCTGTAGTGACTGTATGGAGTCACGAGCGAAGGAAGCACAAGACGGATGATTAGTGACGAGGCTACTTGTAGATCACACGCAGGGGGAAATCCAGAGCCAGTGAGGAGGCAGACAGAGAAGCCCCGGCACCTGAATTGGGCGTAAGTGGTGGCTAGAGAAGCCTAAGGAGCTGCGCTTTGCTTGTTCCTGCATCCTGAGACACGCCTGAGCCTTAAGCAGCCTAGTCGGGCAGTCGGCTCGGCGCTCGCACCGGCTCCAACTTGAACGCTGACTTGAAACTGCGCCCTGGGGCCTGCACCGCAGCCGTGGCTGTGTCTCAGCCACCTCATCTCGTGCGCGGCCGGACCACGCGTATGTGTACGGTGTACGGAGTAGCAATCCCCAATATAGACCAGCCATATTATTTTGACCACGCTGGACTGAGCTGACTGTCTGACCTGTGCAGCTTGGAGCATCCAGACCTGGTGGCGTTGACCTTCTCCCTCTTTCTCGAACATCTGACAACAAAGTTCAAACGACGACTCTCGATCCCTTGCAATCTGCACCGCCAATTTGGCACCTGTCATCTCGGACAGCTTCAAAGGTGCTGGCCGTACCATAGTCACTCACTTGGATCTGTGGATCCTGATTCTACGCCCTCACTTCATCGGACCCCCTGCGGATGCGCATCGTCTTTGTCTTTCTCGTTCTCTGTTAGAGACACGCTCCCTGGACCCTGGGAATGAACATCACACAAGACTAATCCAACCCGCGCCCTTCTCTTCAGCATCTGCAGTCCCCTTTCTGAAATGCGTTGATCGGACCGTTCTCGACCTCGACCTCAACACCAAGTTCCATTCGCTTTGCTCTTTTCCACATCATGGCGGCCACCGACTATTATCGCGAATCCTACATGGCGCAGTCCCAGTCCCAGTCCTCCCAACCTCGATTCAATAGACCGCTCTCTCACACAGCGTTCGTGTACAATTCCGGGCAGAGTCCTCCTACCTTCGATCAGTCCGGTCTTTCTCACACATACAATGCCGAACCGTCAAATACAGCTTTCTACGAACACAATAACCCCTCCCATCAAACCCAATACTCGGATCCCATACCTCTAAAGCACAATTCAAGAATCAATACAACCCCAGATGATTATGACTGGCGCAACCAGCAGACTCAATATCCTCCCTCCCCCGAGTCCCCGACCCCACCTCAATTGAGCCCGATATCAGACAAGAAGAAGAAGAAGAAGAAGAAGAGTGGATGGTTTTCTGGCAAGATACCTTGGGTCGTATACACCTTGAGCCTGGTACAGATCACAGTCTTCATCGTGGAGATCATTAAGAATTGTGAGTGCTTCTACAGTCATACCCAGATTTGACGCTGATTATAACCTAGCCATCATTACTGGCTCCCCTATTATGATCCATCCCCAGTTTAATCCCATGATCGGTCCCTCAACCTATGTTCAGATTAACATGGGCGCACGTTTTGTGCCCTGCATGCGCGTCACGCCCGGTGTTCAAGACAGTGGGGAACCTGTGAATTGGCCATGCCCAAACACCACCACCTCGGACGCGGATGCGGCTAGCAACCATTGTGATCTCAAGGCCCTCTGCGGATTTTCGGGGCTCAACAACGACCATCCCAACCAATGGTTCCGATTCATTGTGCCCATGTTCCTACATGCGGGACTCATTCATATCGCTTTCAACCTTCTTTTACAGCTCACCATGGGCCGGGAAATGGAAAAGGCAATTGGCAGCATCCGGTTTGCCCTGGTCTATTTCAGCTCCGGCATTTTTGGCTTTGTCTTGGGCGGGAATTTCGCGGCCTCGGCGATCGCTTCGACCGGGGCATCGGGCTGTCTGTTCGGCATTCTGGCCCTGGTTCTCTTGGATTTGATCTACGCCTGGAATGAGCGACCGCATCCCGTCAAGGATTTGATGTGGATTCTGGTAGATGTTGTCATCTCTTTCGTCCTCGGTCTATTACCGGGACTGGACAATTTCTCTCACATTGGAGGGTTCCTCATGGGCCTTGCCGCTGGCATCTGTTTGCTGCACTCCCCCAATATTCTTCGCCAACGGTCCGGCGAAGTTGGGGCGCCGTACCGAAACGTCGGGTCTGAACTTGACATCAGCAACCCCAAGAATCCCATGTTGGTCACTTCGACGCCTACGATAGCAACCGCAAACGTGGCCGCATTCGCCAAACAACCTCTTGGCTTCTTTAAAGGTCGCAAACCACTCTGGTGGGCATGGTGGCTATTCCGAGCGGGGGCATTGATCGGGGCTCTGGTGGCGTTTGTGCTGCTGCTGAACAACTTCTACAAGTACCACGATACGTGTTCGTGGTGCAAATATCTCAGTTGCCTGCCCATCAACAACTGGTGCGACATTGGCAATTTGCAGTTGAGCAATGCTACAAGCAGCAACAGTTCAAGTCAAAGCAAACGGGATTTGTTGGAGATGGGAGCAGTTTGGATGGGCGATTTGTTTGCGGTCGATGCAATTAGATGAGGATGATTGGTTGGTCTTGAACGACTCGTCGCATACTTTGGACATTTGCACTTGTTTCTGGCATCGAAGTTGGGGTACTGACGACCAAGCAAAAAGAACTACAGCGTGGTGACTAGCATAATATATTCAATGAAGCAACGCCTGATTCAGCCCTTTCTTTCGTGATGGAGCGACACGTTATGTCTTCTTGTCCGATTGCGGCGGGTCGCCGTCGTTGAACCTTTCTTTCCCCCACAACTTGGCCTGCTGCGAGTTGGGAGGCTCAGGCTACCCCTGGACCAAGAAATGCGCCTCGGTGGGCTCCATGTTATTTACCTTGACCAAATCCTGTGGACAGGCGCTCATGACAGCGACACAATCGATCAAGGCCTCGAACACGACGCTGTCGCCTTGGTTGCAGACGGGCGCCTCGAACTTGAGCTCCGCCCCTGCCGTGGGGTTGTTTCGGGCACCGGCCGGTCGGACCTGCGACTGGGACGAGGACGAAGATGAAGGGGACTCCCAAGGGGCCAACGGCACGACGACGGGGACATTCATGAACAAGTTCAACGGGTCCGGAGGGGTGCTGCCGTCAGGGAGGACCAGGTCCAGCGTGGCCAGCGCGGCGTGCAGGTTGTCGACGCAGCTGGCATGGTACGTGTCCTCGGGCACGCCGAGTTCAGTGTACCGCGCCCGGTCGCAGGCCGGGATCAGGGTGTCGTGGACCCCGGGGGTGGAGTCACTGGTGAGTTTCAGTATCGGGGTGCGACGGTTCGTCACGAGGATGTCGTTGGGTAATGGCGATAGATGGAGGGTTGAGGCACGGGTGTGCGATGTAGAGTGGTGGATTGGGACGCTTGTTTTGGAGGTGGTTCTTTCTGATGCTGACACCGGTGCTGATGCTGGTATCTGGAAAGCCCAGAAATCAATGACCTGTGTGCCGTGTGTGTTGATCACGGTCAGAGTCTGGGATTTGCGCAACGGGACAGCCACGGAGGAGCGGGCGGGGATGGTGTGTTTGATGTTCAGGGCATATCTGTTGTACGTGCTTTCGGTTGTGGACATTGTGGAAAGAATCGATGGGATCGAATGTGCAGAAAGCAGGGTTGAGGACGACGACGGTGGAAGGATATGGAGAATTGCCTCTGCTTTCACTTTTCACCCCGGGTCGACGCGTTCTTATATGTACGGAGTACTCTTGTACAGAGTATTAGACCTGCCGTTGATCTCCGTTGACCGGGCCACAGTTAGTAGGCACCTACTGTAAAAGCAAAGATACGACGGGTGGAGAACCGATCGAGGACAGAGTGGGCTTCATGGCCTGATGGGATGTCGATGTTCCATGGTTGATTTTTAGTCCGCGCCTTCTCCTGCCCACTGGGGTGATTGAGGATGAGGGTGAGAGTAATGGTGAGGGACGGTGATGATTGACATTGAGTGGTAGGTGGAGTGGACATTGAAATTGAAATTGCATATCAGCTTTCAGACGGTTCGCCGTATACCAGTGTGCCAAGGCTACGGCCAAGTGTGAGGCTTGAACCGCAGATCCGCATATAGTAACTCCAACAACCCCTGGGACCTGGAAATGCTACACTGACCTCCTTCACCATTTCACTATCGCTCAGTACCTAGGTAGGGGGTCTGTGGGCACAGGGCGTCAATGATCTGATATCCAGCTTGTCTCTTGTCTCTTGTCTCTTGTCTGATGCGTCCGCGCGGTCTTCCCTTCAACCTCAAATCCTACGTCGATTCGTCCATGGCCGCCCCGACCAACCCCCAGACCCCCAGATCCACCAAGGGCGCCCCATGGATGGAGGACGACGTGCCCATCATCGACTCCGACGAGAGCTTTTCTGATGTGGTGGCCAAACTGTCCTCTTACATTTCCAAAGCCACCGATGCTGCCTATACCTACGAACAACTGCGCACCACGGTGGCCGGCCAAAGTCTGAGACCGCTGATCGCCACGCTGAGCGAGGACTGCCACCATTCTGCCGTCGTAGCTGCGCTGTTGGCCGCCCGATACCTGTTCACCAACGATTCCGACTCCGACCTCTCGGACTCGGCGCTGAACGAGAGCAGGGGCCTTGCCTGTGAACTTGTTGCGTGGCAGTTTCTGACCTATTTGTCGGAGAGGGAACTGATCGATTACCTTCTCTACGAACTGCCCGAATTCGCCGACGACGACAAACCAGCAGCAGAGTCAACTGGCGACCACCGCAGCAATGGCGACGACGATGGCGCGTCTGATGAACGCTCGCCGCTCGTGCGGCCGCGCTCCGGCCAGTATGACGGGCTCCGGCCTCCTCGGAGGGCTAGCGTGCAAAACCCGCGTGCCACCATCGCCTATCGAGACGACGATCGAGCTGACGGCCCGCGCATGAAGGTCGAGGAGATGATGGCCGGAATGAGCGCGCTGGAAATCGCCGCCATCGCCAACGCAAAGAAGTTTCTGTCCCAAGCCCCGGTGCAGAAGATCGTCGAGGACATCTGGAACGGCGATGTCATCTTCTGGGAATCCCTGTCGGTCCACGCCGTCAAGAAGCCTCGGGCGTACAACAAACACGTTGCAGACCCGTTCACGCGCCTCCGGGTGCCGAAATACCAGAAGGCGTTTCAGATCGCTTTCTTCCTCTCGTTCTTGCTGCTGTACTATGCCGTCCTGGTGGAGCGGAATCCTCAACATATCACCCCCACCGAAATCCTGCTGTACATCTGGATCGCCGCCTACGCGTACGATGAGTTTGGTGAGGTCATGGACGCAGGCTTGATGTTCTACCAGGTCGACTTTTGGTCCTTGTGGGATCTCGGCATTATCGGTGTCAGCGCCGCTTTTGTGGTGACGCGTCCGTCAACCCGGCCCGTCTGTTGTGTGCCACCCTATGAGCTGACTGCTGCTGCAGGAATTGTCGGACTCGTCAGAGACAGCGATTACATTACCGATGTGGCATTCGATGTTCTGTCCATGGTGGCCTTGTTTCTCGTTCCGAGGTGAGCGCGCTTGTCTTGCTTTGCAGAGCACGCTGACGGTGGCAGAATATTCTCCGTCATGAGCCTCAACCCTTATTTCGGGAGCTTGGTAGGTGCCGCACACGGTCGGAAGGACTGCGCTGACGGGTTTGGTGAAGATTCCAGTGTTGAAGGAGATGGTGAGCTCGAACTCGAACTCCATTTTGACCCGGTTCAATGCCATGTACTGACCGTCACTCAGACAAAAGCCTTCTGCAAGTTCTTGCCCATCATCGTTGTCCTGTACCTGGGTAAGGCTGATGGATCTCTGTCGGTGCTGTCTCTAGTCTGATTATGGCAATCAGGGTTCTTGACCACTTTCACCATGCTCGCCAGAGACCGCATGACGCTTAATGAGATGTCATGGCTTTTGGTCAAAGTCTTCTTCGGGTATGAACTGCGCCCGCCGGACTACGTGACCCTACTAATTAGCCATTCAGATCGAGTTATCTTGGATTTGACATGGCGGTGAAGGTATATCAACCATCTGCCGGCCACATCGACGCTAACATGGAGGCTTTGCAGATTTCTCCTCTGTTTGGATATCCATTGATGTATGCATTCCGCGGCACCTCTGAATTACCAGTCGGATGGCTGCAATTGCTCAGCCGCAGGCCTAGGCCTCTCTTGTCAACGGGGCGCTTAGCCCTTCCAATGGTGCCACCGCTTGCTGAGAGGTCAACCTGAGCGCTTGCATGTCTTCGCTGCTAACATACTGTGTCGTACCCAGGCTGGTTTTTGTTTGTTTGACCAACATCCTTCTCATCACATCGCTGGTGTCGCTGGTGTCGAATTCATTGACAGAGGTAGGTCGAGGTCCGGGCCGGTTCTGCGACCGCCCCCGTCCTAAAGTAGCCGCCGACTACAATGGCGGCCATGCTGATTGGCTTACCAGGTCATGACCCATGCCCGGGAGGAGTATCTCTTCCAATACTCGATATACGTGCTCGAAAGCAGTACCTCCAGCCGACTGACCTACTTCATGCCGCCGCTCAATCTATTTCCTCTGACCCTTCTGCGACCTCTTCGACTCTTTCTCCCATCGGAGGACGTCAGGCGGATCCGGATCTTGGTGCTCAAAGTTACACATGTCCCCTTTGTGGCCATGATCTGGGCCTACGAAAAGTCCAGAGGCCTCGTCCCTCGTCGTCACTCGACCATGAGTAAAGCCCCTCACCTGACCAGTCGCCCTCTTAGTGCAGGGCAGTCTAGTTTCAACGGTTCTCGAGATTTGGTCAAGTCGTCAGCCACTCGGAGAGCGCTTCCTGAAACACCTCCAGCCGCGACTCCTGAGCGGGGCGGTCGCACTGGAAATTCCAAGTCTGCCTCGGGCAGTGCTGATGATGCCGACCTGGTTGCTCTTGTGCAGAGATTGAGTGCACAGGTGGACGGGTTGACAGCCATGATTGCGGGCCAGCAAAAGGACTGACCCTATCCAGTTTTCTGCCTCTCTCCACCAACGGGCCCCAGGTCACAGTCGGAGCGGACGCCGGCGAATCATGCGGGACATGGATCGACCAGTCCACGAGGTTGCTCGGATGCTGAATGGCTAACCATAGACTGGCAAACTCTAGACCGGAATCCACAGAATTTCCCCGTACAGAACGACGGGCGACGACCCACTATGTCGCCGGCTTGGGGCTCCAAGACTCCATTGCCGGCTTTCTCGAGTTGCCCATTGGAGACCGAAAGGGCAGGATCTGCCCACCGTTTGCGAGCTGGCGACGCTAATGCATCGACTCTACATGGTGCGCTAGGATAGAGTGCCTCTTTGAGACCTGTCGAACACTGTCGCTCCCGGAGACAGCCTGAGCGGCTGTTGGGTGGGGGCTGCCTGCCTGGCCAGGTCAGGGAAGCAGACGGTCAACGGCACTGCCGGGCGAGGCCATGCTTCCTTTCCATTATCGAACATATCTCCTGATATACGTGCTAGCCGACCGAGTGTTGGACACCGCATGGGGGGATACTTGATTGTCGGAGCCGTTTTAAAGCCTGCCGTTCCCGGGATGGCCGGAATACATATTGTTACTTTGCCCTGACTGTCACACGCCGTTCCGTTGCCGTTGACGTTGACATTGATCCGATACCTGTCAAGATGGATTCTCCCATCTCTCCTTTGTTCCTGGAAGAAGATGGTCGACCCCATCCGCTCCCTCATCTCTCCGATGCATACCTTGGTCATTTCCATCAAGCTTCCTACCGACCACTGCCTTCGAGTGACACTCATGATGGTGCCTTCTCGCCGGCACTCCGACTGTTCCCTCCCGATCAAGCCTCGTTTCCGGCGCCTGTGCCTTTGCCTGCGCCTGTGCCTGTTCCTACGATCTTGACATCCAACACCAACGATGTGGAACCGTCATCGTCTCCTGAACTATACGACGGCAGCTGCAGGATTGTCTCGCAGCCAAGCGGTCCGGCGGACGGTATTTTGGTGGGCTCGGAGTTACGCTGCCGTCTATGTTTACGGCGGTTCAAGAAACGAGCAACACTCAGGAATCATATGAGCACGCACAGATTACACCGAGAGATGGTACAATGCCCGCACGCGGGTTGTTCAAAGAGCTTCCGCCGAGCTGGCGATCGAAATCGTCACATCCGAAGTGTAGGTTTGGTCTAGTCCGTCCCGTCGACACCGTCAATCGGGACCGCCTAACTCGGTTGTGAGAACAGAAACATCTCGACCCTCAGGAATACCCGTGCCAATATTGCCGAAGAGGTTACTGTCGGTCGGACTTGCGAGATCGGTAAGGATGCTCTCATCCATGGAGAGGCTAAGCATGCAGCCGCGTTCAGCATGGCATCGGTTCAGCGTGGCATCGGTTCAGTGTGGCATGCTAACATCTTCGCTCCATGACAGGCATGAAAGGGAGCACTGCGAGGTGCGCCGACAACAGTTTCAGCAAGAAATGATCGTAGCAGCCGCTGCTGTGTCTCAGCCTCAGCTTGAAGCGAGCACTGAAGCGACCACGACCACGACCACGACCACAACCACGTCACCGTCGGGATGCTATCTCCCATCACCATGCTCCCTAGGGACATCACCCATGTCAATGTCCACTTCTGGAGCCTTGACCAGTCCGCCCACTCCGCAGCCTTCGACTCTTGACAAACCTGACGGACATGATGCTCCGGCGTACAGCTTCCCCATGCCTTGTTCAGACGTGCCAACCGGACCCGTTTTCAACAACACGAACACGGACGACGGCTGCACAATGTTCTACTTTTGCTACAGCAACGACAACGTCAACGAAAATGGCCTTCCGAGACAGATGGAGGGAAAGGATTGCAGCTCTGAAATGCCATGGACTCCATATCCATTCGACCTCGGACTGGGACTGGGAGGATTTCACGATACCCACGATAATCCTAGGATCTCGGTCAATCCTCTAGAGGCGTCGGGGTCGGACCACTTGAATCCTGCCATCCCGACGGGGTACAGCTTGGACCGGAATTGGGGTATGGATCCTATCGGTGGTAGTGGTAGTGGTGGTAGTGTGGATGCAACTGCTGGTATGCTTGGGTATGTGGATGTGCTTGGGTATGTGGATGTGGATGTGGAAGTGGATGGGCATGGGCATGAAGACCGGGATGTGCACGGCGACGGCGCGACAACCATGGATCTGGGTATGCAAGCAATGCAGTATGGCTGGGCGCATACATTGTTGACCTTGTAGCAGGTGCGAATATCGATGCGTTGGTATACTTGGGGAGTGGTATACTGTTGGGCAGTCTGGGCGTGTAGAATGGATGCTATGGAACGACGGTCGGGTCGGTCGGGTCAAGTCACCGACAGTTTGAGCATTTACTGCGACACTACTACGTATCTAATGAAGTCAAACAAAATACAATAGAAACGATTCAGATTCATTCGGCAGCTTGACTGACTTTTATGGACATAGTAACTAGGTAGTAACCAATAGCTAGTCACTAGTCACTACCTACCTTGATATCACTATCACTATCCCTATCTCTATCGGTTCTTTGGCATCCAGTAAAGTAAAGTGCACCGGCTGGCATGACTGGCATTACTGGCTGGCATACAGTACAATGCACCGGATGGCATGACTTTCTTGTCTTCATTCAAGGCCATTCATTCGCAGCATGCTTTCAAGGCTTATGAGTTTTGTTCAAGGCCATTCGCAGCATGGTTTCAAAGGCTCATGAGTCTTGAGTCATGCGTCATGCGTCATGGGTCATGGCTACTTATGTACATGGACTTGGCTTCCAGGCTTTTGTACACTGGGTAACTTCTGCGAAGCCAAGTCCTTTTGGACACTGGGTAACTTCTGCTGACGGCAGGTCCTTTTGGACACTGGGTAACTCCTGCTGATGGTAGGTCCGCGGCTCAGGCTCAGGCTCAGACAGGAAGCTGAAGTTGGAGTTGAAGTTGAAGTCGAAGTCGAACCCAGCTCCTTTTGTACACTGGGTAACTTCTTGACGGCAGGTCCGCGGCTCAGGCTCAGGCTCAGACAGGAAGCTAAAGTTGGAGCTGAAGTTGAAGTTGGGATTGGAGTCTAATCCAACTCAAACAGGAAGCTGAAGCTGAAGGTGAACTTGAACTTGAACTTGAAGTCGAACTTGAACTTGAAGTCGAACTTGAACTTGAAGTCGAACTTGAACTTGAAGTCGAACTTGAACTTGAAGTCGAAC